TGTGTATATATATATATATATATATATATATATATATATATATATATATATATACACATACATATAATTAATTTTTTTTTTAAATGGAAACCCCATGGCTGCTTGTTAAGTCATTTTAGGTTAGCCATTACTATTTGTATTTGAATCCACATCTGCACAGTTCTAGAGATTAGGGTTGAAAGATTTGGTAAAAAGTCTAAATTGCGACTATTTTCCACCACGATTGCAATTGTATTGAAGAAGCAATTAATTGCTTTTGCAATACAATTGCAATCTAGTATCCCTAGTAGGGATACTAGAATAGTAAAAGCTTCAAAAAATAATATAGAATCAGTCACCCTTAGTATTCCCATGGCCCTCTCTATATATGATATATGTTGGCGTCATGGTCAACCTAAATATTATGTTATTCACTGGAGTTCATTTGCTTCGTGGAGTTATCATGCCAGCACACCCACTCTGATGCTTCATGAATTAATTTCATATTTGCTGAGTGGATTGCCATGAAGAGCCAATAAATTCACATCCTCTCCTAATTAAATGGAATCTTTTCAATGTGATCAGCGGTATACACCTAAAATGGGACAGTAACTGTATACAAAAAAAATATATAAAACAACACTTTTTTTCCACCGAATCCATTAAATTAAACTAAACAGCTCATGTTACTTAATCATATTTAGTTACTTTAACAAAATTGTTTCATGTCCTATCCTGCTAACATGAAACAATTGTGTTAAAGTAACTAAATATGATTAAGTAAATGCCAAAAGCCGATGCATTCTTTTTTTTCCAGTGATGCCCACCCAAAAAAAAAAAAAGTAAGTTGGAGGCATTTCTTATATGGTAGATTTTTACACATACATACACCAAGATCACTATTCTATTAAATAATTTGGCAGCACAATGCTGTGGAAGTCTTTTGATTTAGTAGTTTCCAACAGTTGAAGTTAGATGAAGGTATATTTTTACTAGGGCTGCAGCTAACTATTATTTTGCTAATCGATTTATCTGTCGATTATTTTTTTTTCAATTAATGGATTAATAAGCTGATAGCCAATGGTTCTTTAAAGAGGACTTTCTATGAATTTAAACAAGATAAAACTAAAACTTTTCCAGTTGAGGAGTTCTGGATAGAGCATATTCAAAGATACTTTCTTTTTTTTTTTCTTAAATGCAAAATGTTTATATATTTTTTACAATCAGTAAATCAGTTGCTCAGTCAGCTAAAGGCATATTTTAGAGTCTGTATACTTCAATTAACAATTGATTATTGAATTAATTGACTATTTCAAAAATCGATTAATACGATTAATTGTTTCAGCCCTCATTTTTACCTTTTTTTTAAGCAACATCTCAAACACTGTGCATCTTTGACATCATGTAAAACTCTAAAGAAATCTGGCAAAAAATTAGGAAAACAACTGAGGACCCCCACAAGTCTAGGGATGAGCAACGATTTAAATTGGCTATAGATGACTAGTATTAAGTGCCCAGGGCAAATAACCTAACATTTTTGAATTTTTGACACATTACCAGGAAATGCATGCCAACCAACCCTCAGGTCTTTTCTACAACAATATGTAGTGAATGAAACAGAAATAGAATAAACATAAACGACGCATCTCCAACAAAAAAACAAGAATCTATAACTTTAGTTAAAACAAATTTTGTTAAGTATTTAAATAAAGTCTTGCATAATTCAACTAACTAAAAATACAATAAAAAAAATTGAAAAACTAATAAAGTACTGGAAAATTGAATAGACAATAAATTGAAACCACCATTACATTGTGTGTGTGTGTGTGTGTGTTTTGTGTGTTTTATTTTTGAAACCATAGTTCTCTAAAGTTTTTATTTTTTTTAATTATTTTTTTTTTTAAACCAACAATATTTCATGGCCGATCTCTGCAGGCATGGAGCGAGCTGTATTGTAGACCCAACAAAGCTACAACCAAAAAGGGTCTCGTTGGCCAAGCTATAGCTTTAGCGTTAGATGGGGTTCGGAACATTTATATCGCTATGAACATTGCCAATGTTTCCAAAGTGTTATGTCAGATTTCATATGTGCATTACCTTGAATATCCTGGTTTTGTTGGTTGCTCCTGTCTTCCACTAGGTCAGGTGGTGGTGTAGGTTGCAAATCTAGAATAAGCTACAGGGATAAAGTGGCTATTAACCAGTCATCTACTTTACAAAACAAATTGTCTTTGACTCTGCACTGAAAAAAGTTATCCAACCGCCTTTAGCATTTACTTATTGGTATTTAGTTACTTTAACACTTTATGTGCTACCCTGCTAATATGAAATAATTAAGTTTAAGTAACCAAATATGATTCAGTAAATGTCAAAAACAGTTGCATTATCTTTTCATTGTCTGTTAGCTGAGCAGCATAAGCATACCAAAAAAACATTTTTTTTTATCCTGAATTCATATCATTTTCTGTGCCCAGATCCAGCCGTTCTGATGGATACTGGAGGGTTTAGTGTTTATGATGGGCCAATGAGTTGGGTAGTGGCCACGGGCAATCTATTATCTGGGGTAGGCAGTTGGTCAAATGGTGTTTATACCACGGCTTCCCAACTGTCGTCTTCAGGCTCTAGTGACAAACTACTTTGTCGTAATTAGAGAAATATTTTCTTTGTGAATATATTTTCTTATCTGAAGAAGTTCAAATAATCAATTTCAGGCATTTGGTCCTACTGTCAGGGTGGTATGATCGCTGATTACATATTATACTGCAGAAGGTACTTTAGATTGGATCCAAGATCTTCTCTGAAGATGTGCTCTTTTGCTCAGCTTTTAAGATGTTCACACATCTGCCTTGGAAGCAGGAAAAGACTGCTGCGCCTTTAGTTTAGTAACGCAATGCCATCATGGATGCTATTGGGTAGGGCTGAAAGAATCCTATCAATCATGATGAATCGATTATGGAAATTATTGTCAACTAAGTACTTGAATAATTATGTGTAGTATAGAGAATCTAAAACATGCCTTTAGCTGGGAGAAAAAACATATTGAAGCAGAAATTATACCAAAGAATTACATGGAAGTTTTTTTTTTTTTTTGAATGAAAAGATATTTTTGTGCATCAGTATGCCCTATCCAGAACTCCCCAAGTTAAATTTTTTTAGTTTTACCTAGTCTAAAGTCTGTAAAAATGTTCAAGGAACCTTGTAGTATCCAATTCTCAAGATTCAGAAGAGACTTTTTAAATTTATTTATTTTTTTGTTTTCTGCGGTCTGATCTCGAATTGGATTCCTGGTGTTTAATACATATCAATGAGTTGTTACATGAATTGCATGCCTGTTTGATTCTGCAGCATATTTATAATGGTTTAGTATTAACGTTTAACAAGAAGTTAATAATGCAGTGGTAGTTTTTTTTTTTTTTTTTCTTTTTTAATCAATCCTTGGTTATATGACTCAATCTTAAGCAACTTCCATTCACACAGCCTTAGTTTAATACCTCTCTCCATCCAGTACCGATGGAGATCTTTTTAAATCTCCAGCATCATGCTGTTCAGGAAGTATACAGATTTTATAATTTTTTTTTGTGTCATTGTGAGAATGTTGGCTGAATCTGGAATAAAAGAGTTAAATTCACATTGTAAATCAGCCTTTTGACCAAAGGACATGAATCAGAAATTATGACCTCCAAGAACCAAAAATAGGCAACTATATTTTATAAACGCTTTTGTAGACAAACACCTTCATTGTGGGGACAGATCTTATGATCTGCTGAAACAAGAATTTAAGTGTCTGACTATACTGTAAGTTTGAGATGACTATCCTATCTGTTAAGTACAGGGTTGGCAGCTTAATGTAACAAAAGTATGAGGAAGTTGAGTACCGTTGACAAAAGATGGAGCTCAAGAAATCAGTCAGGCAGAAACATTTTAGACCCAAACCAGTTTATCAAACAGTCATCGCCTTTTTCAGGGCACCACAACAGTTAATTTAATAAAGGACAAAAATGTGATCTCCTTGAGAGGCAGGCACACCCAACCAACGTTTGTCCCACTGAATAATCATTGGCAGAATTTTTGAAGTATTGTGTCATATTCTTGAAAAATATTGTGACTGGGTTGCAAATGATCAATTAAATGGGTGATAAAAAGTTGAGTGCTTCTATCGATAATTGATATTTGGCCTTTTTCTTAAAAAAAGTCCAGTACCTTCAAAGACATGTTTTTTTCTACAATATGCAAAATTTAAAGACATGTAGCCCATTATATTTTGACAATCTCTGGTGCAAGCTCTAAATAGGATAACATATGAACTAGTTATGATTCCCAATGTACAGAAATGTAAAACTTTAGAAATGACGTGTAGCTCTGAAGTACTGTCAAACTTTATATGCCACTTTGTGTTGATTGTTGTTTTCAAGGCCAATTAAAAATCAATGTTGGTGTTTTGTGCCGTTAACTGCGCTTCTAAACGGGAAGTTTAGATTGCTCCTCAAGGAATTTTAAATTATCTATTGAAAATCCTCAGTCAGTCCTGCTTAAAGCTGATTTATAATCAGAAACCAGGTCGTCTGCTTGTGTGTCGCAGTGAACGCAAATGTGTCCCCATCCTTTTCTGCAGACACTCTGGTACACCTCTCCAAAATTGTAGGTGATTGCAGTAGGGTTGTCAAAAGTATCGATACTCAAAAAAGTATCGATACTTAAACGTTGTATCCGGATACAATACTTATTTCAAAAGTATCGATACAGCCATCTAAAGTGCAGAATAGTGGAAAATGCACTTTCTGCATACTGTGTGATTGAATAATTCTGTGCATTTTTCAGTTTCAGACTTTTTCTGTAACAGGTGCAGCTGCTGAGAATTATTTTTGTTTAACTGGTTTGGCCAGTGTCATTGTTATGTCTGCAAAGCATAGCCAAGGAAGGAACACTTAATTTTATTTTTGTAAGTTTTTTTATCAAGCTTGCTTGATATTGTGCGCAGTAGAAAACCTCATAATATTACTCTTATTGTTTTTTTTTTATTTATTTCTTGTATTTTTTTTTTAGTAATGAAAATATTTCTGTTGAATTTTAGAGTCTTTGTTTTTATTCTTGCGGTATCGAAAAGGGTATCGAGTATCGAATATTTTACTTAGTATCGGTATCGAGTTGAAAAGTTTAGCATCGTGACAACCCTAGATTGCAGACAGCGCTGCAGACACGAGGCCTCTGATTGGTCAAATCTACATTCACTCTACACTATGCGCATTCCCTTTTTGGTACCTTACCGGCTTGTTTGTTTGTATGACCGCCATTGTGGAAAACGACTCGTAAAATTGGACCAGCTAGAAGAGGGAGGTGCGTGAGAACGCTGGTACCTTTTTTCCACTTGGATCCCCGCTCGTTTTTCGCCCTCATGTCCCTCTGTTGTCGGACAAACTTGCCCCCACTTCCTCACCGCCTGGGCCGTATCTAGACCCACAGCTAGTTCCTGATTGTCCCTCTTGCGTTGTTGCGTTGAACCCAGACCACGCTTCAGTATTGGGCACAAATCAAAAATATCTGCGACAAGCTCATTGCAACACGCCGGAGTATAACCAGCCCTTTATTGGTATAATGTCATTTCCTATCACGTTGCAGGTGTTTTGTGCAAGGTCTTCCACTTATGTCATCACGTTCTCGCCTTTATTGTTGAGCTGTACCTATCCAATGCCCAGATCGAATATTGGCTCTGATACTAACTAATTAACCGGATCTGGATCCAGTGACTTTTTTTTATTTTTATTAATATCATACATAGCATAACGGTTACAGCAGCTTTAAGGCAGGTGCATTTTAAAATATCTTTCTGAAATGACCTTTACATTGAAGTTTTGTTTGTTTTTGCTGCTTCTCTATACTTTAATTTTGTTCGTTTAAACGTTCCTCTCGAGCCACATTTCTTCACTGGCATATCAAGGTATGCAGATCATACAATCAACAGTCCTGTCTAGGCCTGGGCCATAAACCGGATTTTTGCCGTTACCGTTGTAGGTACCAGATTGACCCGGGCTGCCAGATTGACTCGGCGGGGCCTGCGCCTTTTGATGACGTCACAATACAAAATTGTTTTAACGTTTGCACAATTGCGCAAAACATTTTGATTGGTCTGGACAGCTTACTAAAGTAATTATAGCGGGGTGTAGGTTTTATTCGAAAGCGG